AATACCTTAAGAGCACCCTTTAACCTTCTCCAAAAAGCCTTAGAAAGGATAATATCTCTCACCTTCTTCCTAACCTGATCTTTGGACCACTTACATGCTCTCCACTCATTTGAGGTAAACATCTGCGTCAACTGGACTCTCCTCGAATGTATGTTATCTAGGCATAAGTACTAAGTGGCAAATCTCGTGACCCCAGGCCTCACAATCTCTTTCTTCTTTGTAAATCTACACGTCGTGCTGAGGGTGCGGGTATGGCTATACATGAAAGTCGTAACTGACTTTGCCTTCTTCACTGCACTTGAAATATCGCTCAAACCGCTAAGAGCCTCAAGCATGAGGTCTATACAGTGTGCTGCGCATGGTGTTTAAAAGATTCTAGAGTGAGCTATGCACAACAAATTAGCAACGACAAAATTAGGAGCAACATTATCTATGACAACTTGTATAACATGTTGCTTCCCAACCTCCTTGACTCCCTTCTCCATCACTTGGAATATGTAAGCATCATGGCTATAATCAGAGGCGTCAATAGACCTCAAAAAAACAATCCCTAAAGGACAATTCACCAGCTAATTCATCTGCTTCGTCTCTTCCTATCAATCCAAGTATCTGTCATAACAAAAACCCCACTCTGAGCCCATGCCTCCATCCAAACATCAACAATCTCCCTCGTGATAATCACCTCTTTTTTCAAAAGAGGCTTTGAAAGGGTTGCGGGTTTCATCCTAGGCCCAAATTGGCCAATCGCCTCTACTAAGGTGTAAAAGCTGCTTAGGGGACAGGTATTGAAAGGAATGCTTGCCTCTAACAATATACTGTGCAACTCTATCTCTCTCGTCCTTCTTGATTCTATTTTCAATAGTTGTTTTCTTATTTGTTTTCTCTCCTGCAACCTCAGGGTTTGACCGAGGAAAAACAATCTATAGGCCTTCTAACCTGAAACCTCTTATGCCCCCCAACCCCAAAACTAAGTACAACTCCCTTTCCCTTTCCCCTAATCTGGTATTGTTTTACCTCTTGACACCCTTCCCTATCCTGATCACTATCATCATCAAAATTGACCCGAACCCCAGACCTCATCTCTGTTATGGATGCCTCTCTCATCTTTTTCCGTTTTTACAGTACTTATAAATTTTTTTATCTCCTCTCTAATAGCATCAGGAAATTTTGGGTAACATTCCCCCTTGATACTGGAAAGATGTTTCTTAAACTGATTTATGTCCCTATTTGTATCGTTTTCGCAATTATTGCGTCTTATGTAATTTTTATCCAAAGGATTTGGGTTATAACCATATTTCTAACCCGGATCACCGCTTCAATTAGATCCCGAAAAAGGCATCTCAAAATAATACAAACAATCTAAAAAGTAAATTTTTTTACTAACTTTGATTCCTCGATCTCCAAACTTCCATCTCTAAGATGTTTTTTAAGGTCTAAATCTTCTAAAAAACCCTCTAATAGACTTATAAAACTTCTAAATATACATCTAGTCTCAATGGCTGATGTTTAGATCGATTTTTTGTAACTTTGAGAACCCTTCGATCCTATGGAAATAAAAAAAAAACTAGTTTTTTGGGGGTTTTCTCTCTCTAAAATAGGCTCTAAGGGGGTGTAGGTTTCAAATGAACCTAAAACCTACCCTTATCCCCCTTTTTGATTCGAAAAAGACAAAAAAATATGCTTCAATGAGAGGCATTTCCGCCCCTGGGCTGGGCGTAGGCTCTGGGCAGCCGTTTAGGGCTAGGCGGGTTCCCTAAGGCCTAAGTGGCCGCTCAGGGGCAGACCGCCTAAGCCTTGGTGAGGCACCCAAACCCTCTAGAGCGCCTAGGGGTGAGGCTGCCTAGGCACGCCAGAGGGCTTGGGTGCCTCGCCTAGGGCGGTCCGCCTTTTAGAACACTGCTACATAGTGAAAAGTGGGATCCCCATCCACACATTCAATCCTTTTATGCCCACCCGCCTAATGTTGGCTTCAATTTTTCTTTTACAAAAATTGAAGATTTAGTCATGATTAGAAATAGATTTTTTTTATCTTCATCCATGGATCCCTTAGGCATGCATCCAATTGGAAGGACGAATCCAGCTAAAACTAAAAACATATATGCTTCGCAATTCTATAATCTAAACAATTTTTTATTCTTTTTATTTATTTATTAGTATTTCCCTTTGGATACAAATCATGGGAATGTATATTTTTTCCTCAATTGTATTCTTTGCGTTAGGAGCCCTGTTATTGCAAGAGCCTTCTACCAGTAAGGTGCGTCTTAAATTGAGCAAGGAAAGCCTTTGCAAGTCCCAGGAAATTTGGTCCGTTTGGTTCAGCCATTATTGAAAGGAGCTTTTGGTGCAAGAACAATGCTCGTTATCTTCATCCTATTTGACTTACTTCCTTTCTAGGGTAAAGAATGAGTCCTATTCGCATCCTATGTGTCCCACCAGCCCTTGAAGTTGTGGTATCTCCACCCCTTATGGATGGATCAATCAATCGTTTATCCCTTCTTTTCCCCACTCGACCTTGTTGATCCTGCCTGTGCTGGTCCTAGCAGAGGGAGGGGCAAGGAGTGGTCCACACTGGGAAGGAAGGATAGGGGTAGGGGGCGAAACAAGATGCTAGTCCGGGCCGGGACTAAAAAGAATTTGACAACATATTGATTTATGTCTTCATTGAATGAAATATTTTCCAAGTAGGTAAAGGGAGCTCAAATTCTGTGAGTGAATAGATGCTGCTTGGATATGCGTGGCTGCATCGAGATCAAGCATGGGCATAGGTTAGTCCCGCACGACACCGGCTGTACACTAAAAAATGTTTTGATATATAGTCCCTCTACCCACATCTCTATGTGCCCACAGCACTTCCATATATGGTGACAGATGGGCTTACTGTGTTCCATCAATGGTTCCTAACCTATGCTGAGTTTGGCAGACCGTGCTCCTCTCCGGTGAACTCATGTGGTTCCAACGCACCCAGAGACCGGAGGCGAATCTGTTCATGGTCAGTAGGACCAACACCATCTGAAGGTGGGTGGCCCGCCCCACCTAGAACAGTCATGTTTGACTAGGTTTACACACATTCACTCACGTAGCTGTCACTCCTTTGCTTACCCTAACCCCAAGGATGTCGTATTTTGAAATCTTTTCTACTAGGTAATCTGTTATCCTTATGCATGAAGATAATAAATTTGGTTGTTGTGGTCGGACTCTATTATGGATTTCTTACCACATCTCTATAGGGCCCTCTTATCTCTTCCTTCTCTGAGCTCGGGTTATGGAAGAAGGAACCAAGAAGGAGGTATCAGCAACAACTGGTTTTATTATGGGACAGTTCATGGTTTCATCGCTGTTAAGAAAATACTCAACCAATGCCAGTGCCATCGCCAGGGAACAGTGCCTCTGTTCACGCCTAATGCCTGAAAATGCCGAGGCAGCCCAGCCTTAGTTTAACAAAGTATTCTATCCGTACTATGATACTGCATAAGTAGTTTTTGTTTAGTAAATGATTGTTCCTATATTGGATAATTGAGCTAGATTCGCCTATTCACCAAGAGGGATCCTCCCTTTTTAAGTTTGAGTTCTAGCTTGAGAGGATGGTTACTTAAAAACTGCCAGATCAAGCAGGAAGTTTTTCACCATGATGGTGTGGCATGTGAGTTTGATGTCCGCGATCGAATGGCTTCGGCCAACTCAGTAACTGGTAAATAGCCTCCTAGAGCTTATATATCTAAGCTTAAGAAGTAGAGCACCTAGGCCAACAGAAAGCTGTTGATATCCCTCATTGACAGCGGGCGGGTTGATAGAACTGATAACTCTTTCATGAGTAGCTCTTTAAAGCTCTCAAGGTGTGAGCCATGAGTTCTCACTGTGGTCCTGAATGCTGAGTTGAGCTGTTGCATCACACCCCTCTGTATGTACACGGGTCATCATTTGTAGGGGGCTTGCTGCCACTGGCTTGCTCATCACTTGCCCTGCTATGCGCACGAGCAACTCGCTCCTTAGGGGTTGCTACCACTGGCTTTGCTTGTTGCTATGTGGGATAGATTGAACGATCTAGGATGATCAAACCTTGGAGCACCCTCTTTAAAACCAGAATTAAATGAATGTCATTGACTTCGGGCACATCTTGATGCTGCCCCAGTACATGTTTTGGTGCTGTTGTATGTGATGCTAAGTTTGTCGTTTAGTGGTTCCTTTGGATGCCGCTTTAGAACCCCATTGAGGTGTGGGTTTGCAAAAATTGTTGCTGTTTTGTGAGTGGGATGAAAACTCAAATACCAGTTTTTCATCCCACTTTCAAGGTGCCACATTTTGTTTGAATTCAAAGCACAGGTTATCCAAAACTTATCTCAGCCAAAACTAGGGGAATCTTGGTTCTTTTACACAGACATATACAAAGTTACTGTAATTGAGTAAAGTTAGAAGAACATTACAGGAAGGTTCTTCTCTTACTACATCCACCAAACTGCTGTGTTTAGGGAGATGCACACGCATATAAAGGGGGCTGTTCAGCAAGGCAGCAGCTCTCTGCAACCTTTGCTGTGCTTTGTAAGGCAAACAACAGGAAATCAATTGGAAATAATGGGTGATTCAACTAGTTGGCTTCATTTGGTTTCATTTCTTCTACTTTCTGATTGTTACATCGTTTCCTCAATTACTTGAGCTTGAAAAGAACTTTTAAGTTTTATCTAAGGTAAAATATAATCTGATTGTGGAGCTTGATTATTGCTATCAACTGCGTTGATATTTTACATTTGTATCCTAAAAGTAACATTTGGTGGGGCAGAAAAATCTTATGTCAGCCCAAGTTGATTGCTAGGTTTTATCATAATGAGCCCTACTTGTGTGATAACCCACCATCCATAAATATAGAGGTTGTATTTAGTGATGGACTGATGGTTGTACATCCAACTTATTATATTCTGATTGTTGATTGAACATTATAAATTAGTATTCATAGCTCTTCATGTTCAAAGACTGATGGGTTCTCCATGCATATCATGACATTTCAGAAACGCATTTGGTCCCTCCTTTGGCACTGTTTGCTTTTCTGGGATGATTATTGCGATCGTGCGCATTGTGCGTGCTGCCGTGGACAGTGTACAAAGTGAAGAAAGTACGGGTATCGTGAACCTTGTACTCAAATATTGTGTAGATTTCTTCTTGACAGCTGTTGATTTCCTCAACAAATTCACTATCAACTTTGCTGCCATAACTGGTGAAAGCTACTGCACTTCTTCCAAGATGACATACGAGTTATTGAGGCGTAATCTTCTTTCAGCTGTCTTTGTGGAGACTGTTTCAACCCGTATACTGATTGGGATTGTGTTCGTCCTCTCGGCAATATATGCGATTGTGGTGAGTGGCTTGTTCATATGCTTCTGTCTATATATGCCTGATGGCTTTAGGAGGTTTTTGCCTTTTGATAGTTTTTTTTTTGAGAAGGTAATTACCTTTTGATAGTTGACTTAGGAAGTTTCAATGGACTGGAAATACACACTTTTGTCTTTTTATATTTGGTTTTTTCCATTTCCCTTTTCCTTTTTCGTGTTTCCGCTCCTCTCTCTCTCTCTCTCTCTCTCTCTCTCTCCATATATATATATATATATATATATATATACATATATATATATATATAGAAAAGATCCTGTCACCCCCCCAATGGCGTACCGTTACAGTAACCACCAACGGTTCAGATTGAATCTGGGCCGATTTGACGATCCTGGATGTCCGGTAGTATTTGAATTTTAATTTTTTTCTACAAAAATGATCTGAAATTTGGAGCATGTGTACATAAAAAATATGTGAATCTTCGATAAAAAAAATATTTTACATGAAAAAAATGACCAAAATACCCCTAGTAAACTTTCGGGGGTGTTTTGGTCAATTTGTTTTTGTATATTTTTTTTTTATATTTTTATTAGATGTGCCCTGATGAGACACTTAAAATTTTAAATGATTTGGATTTATAGAAAAAAAGTTAAAATTCAAACACGAAAAGAGGTCGTGACCGTCAGATCGGCCTAGATTCAATCTGGGCCATTGGCGTTTACTGTAGCACTCAACTAGTGAGTGTACTGAATCTACTCCCATATATATATATATATATGGAAAAATATCCTGTGCGCCGAGGTGCGTACTGCTGTAGTAAGCGCCCATGGCCCAGATTCAATTTGGGCCATTCAGTGGACGATCTGACGATCACAGATGTCCGGTAGTGTTTGAATTTTAATTTTTTTTTCTAAAAATCCAAATCACTTGAAATTTTAGGCGTGAGTTTTTCAAAAATAGGCGAATCTACGAAAAATATCAAAAAACAAATTTACGTGAAATAAATTGACCCAAATACCCCCAAAAAGTTTCGGCGGTATTTTGGTCTATTTTTTTGGGAATTATTTTTTTAATATTTTTATTAGGTGTGCATTGATGAGAAGAACACACACTTAAGATTTCAAATGATTTGGATTTGTAGAAAAAAAAATGAAAATTCAAACACGAAATACGGTCGTGATCGTCAAATCGGCCACATAATGGCTTAGAATCAATCTGAGCGTACGACAGTGACTCCCTATATATATATATATATATATATATATATATATATATAT